AATGAATCATGGAACACTTCATCTAGAACTAATGATGAAATGTATGGGGATTAACATAAGAATAAAAAAAAAAAAAGATTCTCTCTTTCCCTCTCCCTCCCTACCTCCTTGCTACTCTCTCTCTCCCTCCCTCTCAAATAAATAAATAAATCTTTAAAAAGAAAAAGGTGAGATACATAAAACAACTGGCTGCGTTTCATCGAGTAGTCACGGTGATAAAAAGAAGGGGGGATAGGCATGTATTAGATTAAGAGAGATTTAAGAGACATAAGATACAAAATGCAACACATGACCCTAGACTGAAACCTATTTTGGATCAACCTACTGTAAACAATTCTGGAACCACTGAGGGAACTTGAATTTTAATTATTACATAAATTAAAATGTATTAACATGAAAAGACAAAGATCATAAACAAATAAAGCAAATTTAAAAACAGCACAGTGTAATTTCATTTGGGTTAAAAATGCATGCGTGTGTGTGTGTGTGTGTGTGTGTACAGAGAAAGAGCACCGTATGAAGAATTAGAAATAGAAGGGAATACTAGCAAACTCTTGAGTGGTAGGAATGACATGCTTTATTTTCTTGTTAATTACTTTCAGCATTTTAAATAATCTACAATACATACATACTACTTTAAGTTACTTTTAATTAAAAATATTAAATAAAAGTAAGCATTTTCTTCCCAGACCCCAGTGCATATGCCCCACTAACAGGCCCATACCACAGGTCCATGAAGGTACATAGGTATGTGCTATTTGACCCGCAGAGAAAGAAAGGGGAGGGGGGTGTTTTACCAAGGTGACAATCACATGACATACAAGCACTCTGAAGTGTACAATTTGTGGCATTTTCTGTGTTCACAAACCTTTTTTAAAATCACCTGATAAAACACTCCCATTTCTCCACTCCCTTCCTCCTCTGGTGACCTCTGATATGCCCTTTCTCTGGGTTTGCCTACTCAGGACATATCATACAACAGAAACCATACAATAGGTGACCTTTTGTGTCTGGCTTCTTTCACTAAGCATAATGTCTTCAAGATTTATCCAAGTTGTAGCATGTATCAGTTCTTTGTTCCATTTTTTTTAATTAATTTTTTTGATTATAGTAAAATGCACATAACATAAAATTTACCATTTTAACCATTTTTTTTTACTGTCTAGTCCAGTGGCATTAAGTAAATTCACACTGTCGTGAAACCATCACCACCATCCATCTCCAGAACATTTTCCACCTTACAAAACTGAAACTCTATACCCGTAAAACAATAACTTCTCATGTTCCTCTCCTTCAGCCTCTGGCAACCACCATTCTACTTCCTGTCTCTATGATTCTAACCACTCTAGGTACCTCATATAAGTAGAATCCTACCATACTAGTCCTTTTATATCTGGTTTATTTCACTTAGCATAATGTCTTCAAGGTTTATTCAAATTGAAGGGCTCGTATCCAAGATCTGTAAAGAACTTCTCAAACTCAACACCCAAAAAACAAATAATCAAGTCAAAAAGTGGGCAGAAGATATGAACAGACACTTCTCTGAAGAAGACATACAAATGGCTAACAGACACATGAAAAAATGTTCATCATTAGCCATCAGGGAAATCCAAATCAAAACCACATTGAGATACCACTTTACACCAGTTAGAATGGCAAAAATGGACAGGGAGAGAAACAACAAATGTTGGAGAGGTTGTGGAGAAAGGGGAACCCTCTTACACTGTTGGTGGGAATGCAAGTTGGTACAGCCACTTTGGAAAACAGTGTGGAGGTGCCTCAAAAATTTAAAATAGAGCTACCCTATGACCCAGCAATTGCACTCCTGGGTATTTACCTCAAAGACACAGATGTAGTGAAAAGAAGGGCCATATGCACCCCAATGTTCATAGCAGCAATGTCCACAATAGCCAAACTGTGGAAAGAGCCGAGATGCCCTTCAACAGATGAATGGATAAAGAAGATGCAGTCCATATATACAATGGACTATTACTCAGCCATCAGAAAGGATGACTACCCAACTTTTACATCAACATGGATGGGACTGGAGGAGATTATGCTAAGTCAAATAAGTCAAGCAGAGAAAGTCAATTATCATATGGTTTCACTTATTTGTGGAACATAAGGAATTGCATGGAGGACATTAGGACAAGGAAGGGAAAAACGGAGGGGCGGAATTGGAGGTAGAGATGAACCATGAGAGACTATGGACTCTGAGAAACAAACAGGGTTTTAGAGGGGAGTGGCGAGGGGGGATTGGTTAGCCCGGTGATGGGTATTAAGGAGGGCACGTACTGCATGGAGCACTGGGTGTTATACGAAAACAATGGATCGTGGATCATCACATCAAAAACCAATGATGTATTGTATGGTGACTAACATAACATAATAAAATTTAAAAAAAAACAACAACATTGAAGCATCCATCTGTTTTACATTCCTTTTTATGACTGAATAATATTCTTCTGTGTGTGTACAAATGCTGTGTGTGTGTGTCTGTATCTGACGATTTATCCATTCATCTCTCATTGATGGACATCTGCGTTGGTTCTTCCTTTTGGTTATCATAAATAATGCTGTTATAAACATTTGCATACAGGTTTCTTTGCGGACATGTTTCCATTTCTCCTGAGTAGATACTTAGGAGTGGAACTGTTGGGTAGTATGTTTATGTTGTGAATTTTTTTTTTTTTAAGATTTTATTTATTCATTTGAGATAGAGAGAGCACAAGCAGGGAGAAAGGCAGAGGGAGAGGGAGAAGCAGGCTTCCTGCTCAGCAGGGAGCCCGATGTGGGGCTCCATCCCAGAACCCTGGGATCATGACCTTAGCCGAAATCAGACGCTTAACTGACTGAGCCACCCAGGCGCCCCATATGTTGGACTTTTTAAGGAACCATCAAACTGTTTCCCATAGGGGCTGTGCCATTTTACATTCACAGCAGCAATGTACGAGGGTTCTTATTTCTCCACATCCTTGCCAATTTTTCATTTTTTTTTTAATATTATTTATTTATTTATTTGAGAGAGAGAGAGAGCATGAGAGGGGGGAGGGTCAGAGGGAGAAGCAGACTCCCTGCCGAGCAGGGAGTCCGATGTGGGACTCGATCCCGGGACTCCAGGATCATGACCTGAGCCGAAGGCAGTCGCTTAACCAACTGAGCCACCCAGGCACCCTCATTTTTTTTTTATTAAAGCTATTCTAGTGGGTACTGTGGTTTTGATTTGCATTTCTTTAATGAACAATAAAGCTAAACAACTTTTCATGTGCTTGTTGGCCATTTTTATGTTTTCTTTCTTTTTTTTTTTTTTTTAAGATTTTTTATCTATTTATTTGACAGAGAGCACAAGCAGGGGGAGTGGTAGGCAGAGGCAGAGGGAGAAGCAGGCTCTCCGCTGAGCAGGGAGGCCGATGTGGGGCTTGATCCCAGGACTCTGGGATCATGGCCTGAGCCAAAAGCAGACGCTTAACCAACTGAGCCACCCAGGCGCCCCCATTTGTATGTTTTCTTGAGAGAAATAGCTATTCAAGTCTTTTGGCCATTTTAAAAATGGGTTGTTTTGTCTTTTTGTTGTTAAGTTGTAAAATTTCTTCACATATTCTGGATATAACAAGAAAACTATAAACCAGTATCGCTCATGGACAAATACAAAAATCCTCAAGAAAATTTTAGCAAACTGAATCCACCAATAATGAAAAAGGGTAATACATTATGACCAAGATGGGTTTAACCTAAGGAATGCAAGATTGGTTTAACATTCAAAGATCAATGTAATTCATCCTAGCACTGGTCTAAAACAGAATACCTTAGTTGAAAATGCATTTGACAAAATCCAATACCTCTTCATGATAAAAACTCTGAGAACCAAGAATAGAAAGGAATTTCCTCAACCCAAGAGGGCAAGGATTGGCAATTTTTTTCTGTAAAAGGCTAGATAGCAAATATTTTAGGCTTTGTGGTCAGACCAACTCCTCAACTCTGAGGTTGTAGGTACAAAAACAACCACAGAATATATGTAAACAAATAGGTGTGGCTATGTTCCAGTAAAACTTTCTATAGATGGCCAGCTAGATTTGGCCCATAGACTATAGTTTCCCAACTCTAATGGCCCTACCAGGTTCTCACATCTATTAAAAAAACAATAGCATGGGGCACTGGGTGGCTCAGTCAGTTAAGCGTCTGCCTTCAGCTCAGGTCATGATCCCAGGGTCCTGGGATCGAGCCCCACATCTGGCTCCCTGCTGAGCAAGAAGCCTACTTCTCCCTCTCCCCCGTGCTCATGCTCTCTCTTACTATCTTTCTCTCTCTCTCAAATAAATAAAATCTTAAAAAAAAAAAAAAAAGCAAACATCACACTTAATGGTGGAAGAGTGAATTTCCACCCTAATATCAGGAAAAAGACAAGGATGTCCACCAACCCTTACCATTTCTGTTCAACATTATACTGGAAAGTCCTAGCTAATACAGTAAGACTACAAAAAAATATAAAGGCATACCAATTGAAAAGATATAAAACACTCTTTAGTCACAGAAGCCATGCTCATTAATATAGAAAATCCTAGAGAATTTACCCCCAACACTCCTAGAACTACTAAATAAGTTCACAGCAAGGTTGTAGGATATAAGGCCAACATACGAACAAAACTGTATTTCTATTTACTAGCAATGAAAAATTGGAAGTAAAAAACAAAAAAATACTAGTTAAGTCTTAACATGACCCCAGCTCTGACCAACACCTTGGCTGCAGTCCTGTGAACGACCCTGAGCCAGAGACCCTAACTAAGCCCTGCCCAGATTCTTGACCCACAGAAACAAATAGGTGTTTTTCATTTGAAGCTAAGTTTTGAGGTAATTTGTTATGTATCTGTAGATAAGTAATTCATCCAGTGTACATGAGTACAGGGGCAACAGAGGTACTCACACATCACTGGTGGGAACACAAAACGATAGAGCCGCCGCCTCCTTATTAAGTTACGCATCCCACTTACCACGTGACCAGCATTCCCACTCACAGGTATCTATCCAAGTGAAATGCAAGGATCTGTCCTCACAAAGACGTACTGAACCAGTTTATAGCTGCTTTATTCTAACCTTAAACTGAAAACAATCCAAATGTACATCAACTTGTGGATAGATCCACAAATCGTGACCTATTCATCAAACAAAATGCCACTGAGCAAAATAAAAAGGAATACAAAGATACACAATATGACATGGATGAATCGCAAAAGCATTATATGACTTCCAGTTTCCAGTCCAACACGCAAGGAACTTGGAAGACATCCCTCCATTGTAACAAGTAGAAAGCTGAGCAGACTCTCCTTTGATCCACTGGAGAACTGAGGTCATAGGGCAAACTGTTGCCCCCAAGACTGGAGAGACAGACAGGCAGACACAGAGAGCTACAACTTACCAGAACAGGGCAGAGACCCACAGGTAGAGATCTCTACCAGAACCAGTACTGGGGTAGGAAAATCTAAACTGTAAGTGACCAGTGGCTGAAGGATCACTGTGGACAAGGTTAGAGCTGAAAACTCTACAGACGTCCAGACTTAGGGAGCTCCTACACTTTTGTGAGTTTTTACCTCCTTGAGCCCTACCAGGTTCTCACAGTGAGTATCAGATGAAAATCTGCTTCCGACAAGAAGGGAAAAGTTGTCATTCTGAAAATGCCCAGAGCATGCTGCTCTTAACAAGGCCTGCAGTCAAGAGAAACAATTTTGCCAACGCCTAACTAAACTTGGTTTGACCAGGGCCTAATTAGTGTGAGGGAAGAGAAATACCCAACTCCAGCTCCCCTGGCCTTCCTGTCCTACCTAAGAAGTGAAAAATCTGAGACGCACTGGTGAAATTCAAGGTCCAGGGACACAGGCTCACTAAAAGACTGAGACTTAATCATACGCCTGTAGAACACTTCTCCTCTCCCCACACCTTATCACCACATCACTAAAGACCTCTTTATAGAATTTTCTTACACCCCATACTTCATGGTAGGCTTCTAACAAAAATTTGCACAAAGGAAAAAAAAAAATTTGCACAAAGGACAAAAACCATTTGAAGAGCCAGAGCAAGCAACAGAATAAGACTTAGACGTGGCAGGGATATTGAAATTACAAGGCCAGGAATTTAAAATCAGTATGATTACACCTGAAACTAATATGCCACTGTGTGTGAATTTTATTCCATTTAGAAAAAGAAAAAAAAGAGGTACGATTAATGTGCTGAATGCTCTAATGGAAACAGCAGACAACATGCGGGAACAGATGGGTAATGCAAGCAGAGAGATGAAAATTCTAAGAAAAAATTTTTAAAAAAATGTTAGAAAACAAAAGCATTATGTGAGTGAAAGAAGCCAGACTAAAAAACCACATACCAGATGGTTCCATTGATATAAAATTCTAGAAAAAGCAAAACTTAATGACAAAAAGCACATCAGTGTTTGGTAAGAGCTGAGAGTAGAGGGAGAAGACTCACTGCAAAAGGGGAAGCAGGAAACTTTTTGGGGTGTTACAAATGTTCTATTACCATGGTTGTAGTAGTGTGACATGGCCAGGAGCATTTGTCAAAACTCATCCAACTGTTAATTTAAAATTGGTAGATTTTATTATATGTAATGTATACCCAGTTAAAGATATACAAATTAAAAATATATAAATTAAACATATATATATGAACTAATCTTCATTTCTACAGAGAAAAAAGATGGTAGCATCTGATCCATTTAATTAACCATCTTAGATGGTGTATCTTTCTACTCTAGCCTTGTTATTATGCATATTTTATTCATTGATGTTTTCAGCTCAATCACCCAACGTAATTCTTGCTAGGATTTGTCAAATTTTAGTGATCTTCTTTCACTCACCCTTATTACATGAAAGACATTCAGGTAATTTAAAAGCACAATTATGTTATACAAATGTGCCTACTAGTAACTGTAAAAAACACTCTCTCATCAAAGGCTAAAACTCTACAAGGCAGTAATCCCTGGTGTCAACTATGTCCTATTAGTCCATGGCCAGTGTCAGTGCATAGTTTTTGTTGTTGTTTTGTTTTTTTGTTTTTTAACTTTTAAGATTTATTTATTTTAGAGGGAAAGTGAGTGGGGAAGGGGCAGAGAGAGAGAGAGAATCTCAGGCAGACTCCCCACTGAGCCCAGAGCCTGACGCAGGGCTCAAATTCACGACCTTGAGATCATGATCTGAGCCAAAATCAAGAGTTGGACACCCAACCGACTGAGCCACCCAGGCGCCCCATGTCAGTGCATACTTTTATTATTTTCATAACAAATTTGACAATCGTATCAAAAGCTGGTAAAGGTTCTCATCTTCATAATCTGCTGGAAAATTGGAACCCATCATACTGCCTGAGATAAAAGGCACTTCCAACAGTAAGAATGGTTGTAAAAGCCAGAAAAGTATCTGAAGTTCAATCCCTTTGTTTTAGAATGGTCCTTTCTCACTGTTTCTACTTGGCAAGTTAACATAAAAAGCACAACTCCCCTGAGATTTAATTTAGTACCTTCTACCAAGGTCAAACCACTAATGCCTATTGTGGTAGAGTTCTACCTTACAGAACGTATTGTTTAGAGAACTAATTTTTTAGAAGTAAGTTAAATTTAGATTTCTAAGTCAGGTCAGCAAGAGGGAAGATCTGCAGAGCAAATACTGTCTCTGGACTTCCTAATTACCCGAAGTTCCTTTAATTTTCATGACCGGTGAGGTACAACCGGGAAGACCTTCCTTGTTGACTGAGTGGCTGAAGGGAGGAAATGAGGTTACCTGGGCATACTGTTCCAAGACTGTGGCTGCATCACTGTGCTTCCTCTGCTCAACCAGCTTTCCTGCAAAGATAATAAACACTTGACCATAGTTGGCTTGCTAAGAACAGGATCACCAAAACTCAAGTTGAAATGGTTTTTGGAGGTACTTTTCTTTTTTTTTTTAAGATTTATTTATTTATTTGAGAGAAAGAGCAAGCATGCATGTGGGCACGCAAGTGGGAGGGGCAAAGAGAGGGGAGAGAATCTCAAGCTGACCCCACACTGAGCACAGAGCCTAACACTCGGCTCTAGCTCACGACCCTGAGACCACAACCCAAGCCCAAACCAAGAGTCAGACGTCCAACCAGCTACACCACCCAGGCACCCCCGGAGGTACTTTTTAAATAAAAACAGTCCCCTACAAATTGGAGACTAAGCTCTACTGTATACGTTCAAAAAGAACAGCTTTAAAACAGCATTTTCCAAAGTGTTCCCTAAGACTGTAGGATAATAAAAGGCAATACCAAAAAACCATTCTTGGGTCAAGTAAGTTTGTGAAACATTGGGCATAACAACACTCAACAGATTCCTTTGCTGATATGCTCATTAATATATCTTTATTATGTATCAAACTATATACTTTGTGAATTTCTGTCAGGAAATAGGCAGGAATACCACGGAGTCCTATCTCAAATGGCAGTTACAATCTAAATTTAGCATAGAATGTGAAATCCATGTAGAGCCAAAATTAGCCATGAAAAAAAGCTTACAGAGGCACACATATGGGCAAATGACCTAGCATCTCCAGCTCCTCCATTTCTTCCTCAAATAGGAAGAGACTGCTGTTCTTTGGTTGAGCACTAAGATGAAGGTAGTTGGCTTACGGGTCATGCAGTGTCTTTAGATGCTCGAATGACTCAGCAGTGGAGATAATCATGCTTTGAGAGGCACACAGGACCTGAAGTCGACTACGGGGCTGGCAGACTCATGTCTCCCATCTCATGCAAACTCCAGCGCATATGATCCCTGACAAAAGCAGGTATAATCATCTCCATAATTTCAACAGCTATCTTTCTCTTCTTGTATAAACTGCCTAAGTTAAAGTGCACATGAAGTGACTCTGCCTTATAACTTTTCTCAACAATCTCTGACCACCACCTTTCCTACCATTTTTGCTAAACACTGGGGAGAACTGGTTGTATACTGTACAGCATGACAAACAGCAAGCTAAGAGTTATAAAGAACGTAAGAGAAGATAATAGGCCCTAAGAACAGAGCTGGAAGGTATGAACTACCAAAACATAAGTTTCTAGGGCGCCTGGGTGGCTCAGTCGGTTAAGCAACTGCCTTCGGCTCAGGTCATGATCCTGGAGTCCTGGGATCGAGTCCCACATCAGGCTCCCTGCTCGGCAGGGACTCTGCTTCTCCCTCTGACCCTCCCCCCTCTCATGTACTCGCTCTCAAATAAATAAATAAAATCTTTAAAAAACAAAAAAAAAAACGTAAGTTTCTAAAGCAGAAATAACAATGGAGCCAGAATAAATAACTAAAAGACCTAATATAGGGAATTCTCAAAAACTAAAGAGTTCACCATGGAAATGAAGAGGCCTTGTAGAAGAGCCTACAGACCTAATAACCAGAAATGCCAGAAAAAGAAAAGTGGTAACGTCACACATTTTTATGACCCAGAGAAAAAGGAAGAATGCAAATAGCTAAGGAGGACAAATACATACATTTAACAGGATTTAATTTGGGATTTTTTCAGAACCGCATTTTCTTTGAAATCAAACAATATTTTTAAAACTCTTAAAACAGCAAGGGGGGTGGGTGCCTGGGTGGCTCAGTTGGTTAAGCGACTGCCTTCGGCTCAGGTCATGATCCTGGAGTCCCGGGATCGAGTCCCGCGTCGGGCTCCCTGCTCGGCAGGGAGTCTGCTTCTCCCTCTGACCCTCCCCCTTCTCACGCTCTCTCTCTCTCAAATAAATAAATAAAATCTTTAAAAAAAAAAAAAAAAACAGCAAGGGGAGAACATACAAGCACTGCTGAGAGGGCAGGGCGCCTATTCACCTCTTCTCCCAGGCCGTCCTTTAGCTCTCCTCCCTCTAAGGAGTCAGTCTCTGATATAGGCTTGCCTCCGGTTCAGACGATCCCTAGACCGTGACACAGCTGAACTGCCTTTGCTCTCAGAATGCGTACATGTTTGGTTTTTTCTTTCACCTCATTTCTCATAAATGCTATTACGGTTCCCAATGATCTATTGTCTATACCTGAATGGCCCCACTCCAAAACTCATGTTTACCTTCTGACAGGGCACATGGCCGCACAGCTACTCTGCACTAGGATGTAAGTTTTGGCAAATGAGATGGAACACAAGGAACAGTGTAACTTCAAGGTCGCTTCCAACTTCAAGTGTTCTCCTAAGGCTCTCGTTTTCAAGTGTTCTCCTACGGCTCTAGTTTTTTCCCCTTCCTAAGGCCTGGAATATGGGTATGGAGAAAATCCAGCTACAACCATCCGCCTGGGATGACAGAGCCACACAACAGAAGGACTTCTCAGTCCTTACGTGAGAGATACAAGCTTTCTTTATCATGCCACCGTATTTGGGGACTCTCACTGTAGCAGTTTAACCTTTACTTAAATAAACCATTCTAAATTATCTAATTAATTTTTATTAGTGAATATGAGACAGTCTCAAGGTATGCTGTCCTAAATTTACTTGCAAAATTGCCAAAGAAAGGAAGAAAACAAAAAAACCGCTGGGAGAGTCCTCCCTTTAGAGGACCTAAACCACCACCCACGTTCACCTGCCAGAGTTCTGCCGAGGCCAGCCAGCTGGTCTTTGGTCAGGTCCAGCTGGGCCGCCGTGCAGACAGCTTGCCGCCAGCTACCACTAGCCAGAAAGGCATCGAGCGCTTTCTCGTGGGCGCCACAGCGGGCCAACACAAGCCCGGCTGGCTCGAAGAGGCACTCCCGTGTCAGGTGCTCCCCGTAAGCAATGCTGATATCCTGTGGCAAGAGAAGATGGAGGCTTGGTGAGGAAAGGCAACAGTCATTTCTTAACCTCCGGTGTAGGCTGTCTCAGCCACTACGTTTGAAAGTCTCTTGAATTACTCAGAAATATCCCGTGGTTAATCAGTGAACTCATTCTTCCACTCAAAACCTTACTGAGGATGTGCCATGTATTGACACAGCAGATCATTACTGAGTACTCTTAAGGGCAGTGGGACTCACATAGCGATGCAGAAAATAAAAACAGGCAAAATCCCAAACAATAACAAGAACCACCACCAAGTTCCTGCTCTTGTGGCGACAGGCTTACAAACACAGGAAGGCCTGTGACGTCGTGATAAAAGGAGAGCGACGGGAGTGCTATTTCAGAAGGCTGTGAGGAGAACCAGCCATGTGAAGGGTTATGGCACAGTAATCCAGGCCGAGAGCTACAGACAGCACCGTGGCCATCTGGCAGAAATGTGTTCGGAATACACAGGACGAAATAACAAGAAGGCTGGTGTGAGTGGAGAAGAGAGCGAGCCCGGGAGAGAGGAAGAGACCGTGAAAATGAGCGCAAAGAGGCAGCCATTGGCCAAATGCTCTATCCGCAGGCTCAACATCAGGCAGGGACACAGAGCGGAACACAAGACACAGCCCCTGCCCTTAAGCGGCCCGCGGCCGGCAGGGAAAACAAATCAGTGCGGTGGCAGGTGGTTACGTGCCGTCACTGAGGTGAGAAGGGGGATCTGGGTGCTCAGGGTGGCACCTCGCCCAGGAACAGCTTTCCGGCAGAGGAGACCAAGAGTTAAAAGACAAGTGGGCCTAAAGGTAGGGGCAAAGAGAGGCCTGGAAGAGGCAGCCGATGCTAAGGGAGCAGGCGGGGGCCAGAGCAGAGCCGCGGGCGAACTGCAGAGGGCAGGGAGGGTGGCGGGGATGAGTAGTGGTTACGGGCCCAGGCTCCGGGGTCAGACAGCCTGGGCTCCACATCCCAGGCCGGCGCTTCACACTCCAGTGTCTGAGGCAAGTTGTTTCCTCATCTGTTTACCCAATCAGGTTGTCATGAGAATCACAGAATACATTTAGCAGATATCTGGCATGTAAGAAGAACTAAATAGATGTCTGTTTAAACAAACAACTGAACTGCATCCCTTTCTTCTGAACTACATGAGAAAGATCTACATGCTGCAGGACGATCAGTCATGCGACAGCAAGGCTGGGCTGGAGCAAGGGGTGGGACAGAAGCCGGGAACCCCAGGAGAAGCTGCCATGGTATTCATGATGAGGAATGGGGGACAACTCCTAGCTCTCCAGCCTGGGCACTCTCTTCAGAACAATAGCAAGTCAGGGCCATTCTCCCAGATAAGAGCTCAGGACGAGGTGACTGCGTTTGAAGATAAACCTTGAGGCCAAGAATGGCATTATGGACTCGGGATCCTTCCCCCTGCCAGCTAACGCACAAAGTCAGAAGAGCCTCATTTCGCACACCACTCACCTTGTACTGCTGCGAGTCTGACGGATATAACTTCAGAGCTTCCTTATACAAGTTTTTATCTTTTACTAAGTTTAAGCATTCTGGGAAGTATTCAGGTCCTGAGGAATAAGATTCATACACACACAAGTTTAAGACTTTGGAAGCGTAATGAATTTCACTTGTACCAGTGGTCCCTACACAAAATCAACAAGGGACCTTTGTAAGACCTGCAGAATCAGAGTATCAGGAGTAACAGAATCCAGGAATTCTAATTTTAGCAAAGCACCCCAGCATATGTGAGGTATGAGAAACACAGGTTGAGATCAGAGTTCCATGTAAAAGGATGCTTTATACACTAGCCCTGATAAATGACTCTCCAACCTTCTGTCTGCTCAGCCTCCTTCATTAGAATCAGCTGGGGAGCTTATCACCTATGCAGATACCAGAGTCCCAGCCCAGCCCAGCTCAATCAGATTCTCCAAAGCAGCTTACTAACACCCAGGTAACTTCTTATCCCCATCCTAGCTCTCTGGAGAGAACTGCACCTGCTAAAGCCAGAAACTCCAGCAGGGGACAGGGACGGGGTGAAGCGGAACAACGTGAACCGTGCTCGTCCTAGTCCGTCGCTACCATGTACACCTGTGTCCTTCTGGGAACTGTCGGTGCATGTGGCCGCTCCCTCCAGACAAGCTACGTTTCCCTCGGGTGTTGGCAAACACCAGGGGAGAAGAGTGCATTATCAAACAATTTTCATTCTGAGATACTGAAATGAATTTACGAGGTGATTATTCTTAACCCAAAAAGGATCTGCTCTATTTTTTTAAGTTAGGGAGCTCCTCCAATTCATTAAAAGTCATTTGCTTTGCCTTCAGCTTTTCAGATCGTATGATAAAAGAAGGTGCACATACATAACTGTTAAAATTTCCAGGAGTGGAAACTGAAATCAGTCTATATCTAAACTAACACTTTAATTTACCCTGCCTAGCTCCAAAGAAGACCTGAAGCAGAAATAAACATACTAATCCTCACACTTACCACATTTGCTGAGGTGGCCAATGGCTTTTTCATATCGTTTCAGGTATTTGTCTATGGTGAACCGCTGATAATTGGTTTCCATTTTCTTAAGTGTATTAAGAAATGGAAGATATTCTTTGGGATCCTAAAAAAAACCAAAAAACAAAAAACACCAATAGGAGATCTTTATTGCTTATGATTACATTTATTTATAACAATACAAATAACAATTGTTGTACAATCAATAAACCCAAAGCTACATAATGTTTAAAATACGTACTATATTAGTATATTATACATATTGTATAACTATATAAAATGAAACAACATATAACCAGTTGGGTGAAATTGCTTTAACGTATAGGTGAGGTGTTGTTTTGAGAATAATGATGACGATCTCCTATGTAATTTCACAAGAGCCACTTATTTCAGAGGCTAATAAGGAAAACAAGGTCAATCTAGAAGATACTCAACAAATGCATCCAAGTTTCTCCAGAAGTGCATCACATGCCCTCCCTCTGCCAGTTTTTTTTTCCAAAAGATTTCTTTAGAGAGAAAGAGAGAACACGCATGCTCCCATGTACGTGCGGGGGGGAGGGGGGGAGAGAATCCCAAGCAGACTCTGTGCTGAGCGCGGAGCTGGACGTGGGGCTCGATCCCAGGACCCTGAGATCATGACCTGAGCTGGAATCAAGAGTCGGATATTTAACTGACTGAGCCACCCCGGGATCCCACCCTCCAGCAAGTTTTAAAACAAAGGTAAAATTGTACTGAGTTAAAGACAAAACTCTAAGACCCTGCCAACTAAGATTTTATTAGCACTAATTGTCTGCAGCTCTGTGCCACGCCCCGGAAATTGTTTTCTTTCTAAAGAACAGATGCTCCCTGTTCTTAATACAGTTTCACTGAGCAGACAGGATAAATACACATAAGAACAATCTAGAAAAAAAAGAAAGCCCAAAGGAAAAAATAATTAAATACTCAGGCATGTAATATAGAGAACTACAGGCCAAAGTGTTCAATCAACAAACACTTAGTAAGAATTTGCTATGTATAAAAAATACAACCAAGCCTTACCCCCGGGAGACCTACCGCCTAGAAGAGGAGCTAGAATGATATGCAGGGGTAGGCACTGGGTGCAGTGGAAGCACTATGTGGCCCACTTCACCCAGTCCCCACGTGGCGGGCAGGGAGGCAAGAATGGAGCACTGGCAAGAGGCTACCTTGGCCTCCTTTGCCTTAGACGAGTGATAATTAGCTTGGCGAATGGAGAGGTGGAGAGTGGTGAAGGGAAGCAGAAGTAGCGCCAGCTGCAGAGGGGGTGAGGGGGTGTGGCGGCTGGCGGGGGGCGGGGTACAAAACCACTACAGGCTGAGCAAAAGGAACAGTATCAAGAGACAAGCACAGACAGATACACAGAGACCACATCCTGGGGGCAGGGGCTTAAGCAATATGATGGCTTCTGAACTTTATCCTAGGGGCAATGGAGAGCCCATGAAGGATTTTAAGTAAAAGAATGAAGGATCAAAATTTTGTTTTTGGAAAGATCACTCTGGCAAGAGCAAGGAGAGGGATGACAGGATGAAACTAAGGCTGCAGAAACTAGACCAGATCAGGGGCGCCCAAACTTTCCAACTGCAGCATGCTAAGGTGGGACGAGAGGCCCCAAGCCTTCCTATTCTCCGTGTTCCCACTTTCCAGCCCCATAACAAGGAACTGGACGGGAATCTGAATCATTTGCTCTATTTCCTTTACAAGAGGGGAGTTCATTCACACACATGACCATAATCTTACAAATAACCAAGTAACTTGATTTCACTTGTTCCACCTGGCATTCCAAACACTTTGATCAGCCCTGAACTCTGACAGAGATGGGGCTTAGAGGCAGGCGTCCGGGAAACGCCCAGCCCTGCCCCCAGGCCTGTACTCGCTATATTCATGTCAGCAAGACCCAGCGCTGCCGGGGACAGGGTTTCATACTGCCATGACCACAGAAGCAAGACCCGAAAGGCCGTTAAAGTAGCGACTGCACCTACCTTCTGTGACTTCTCAGCTACCATGAGGACCAAATCAAAGTCATAGGTCCCGAGAGAATGATCATATAACTCATTAACATCTACCAGAAGCAGTAGATACTTCAGGGCCTCTTCAGCACTCACAGCATCAGGAACAGGTGGAGTACTGCCTGTCAGTGTGTAAGAAAACAAAACACAACAAAGCCGTTTGGGGGAAAAAACCGACGTCTCTAGCAACACAACCAAAAAGACAAAGTAAGTGATTTTCTTGACAGAACTGGATGCCATAGGACTTCTTCTGTACATGTTTTGTAGCGCAGTGCTCAAAAAAAAGGACACAGGGGGCGCCTGGGTGGCTCAGATGGTTAAGCGTCTGCCTTCGGCTCAGGTCATGATCCCAGGGTCCTGGGATCGAGTCCCACATCGGGCTCCCTGCTC